GAACCAAAATAGTTTTTTTAAGGTGGACAATAGAAAAGTTCAGTCCCCCACAGCCTGAAGGCAGTAGAGACCTGCCAGTGATCCCAACACTGGAGAAAAAGTCCAGGCAGCTGCTTGTTGAGATCAAGGGCAGCCCCCACCAGCCCATTGCAGTGGGTTTATACTATTTTAATAAAAACCTTTTAGTCATATTATAGTCATATAATCTTATATAGTCATATTTAACCATTTTTTATTACTTTACCAATTGTGAATGAACTTTGAATGCTATTATTTAGAAATGCCTTATTTATTTATTTATTTTAAAAGAAACAAATGGCAAAACTCCACCAGGGGGAACCTAGCCTCCTCCCCAAATAATTAATAGGAAAAGATTGGAGCATTTTTTTTTTTCAATTTAGGATCATGACACATTATTTCTTACTTGTTTTTGAGTTTTTATTTTTATTTCTTAACAATTTTAGCCAAGTCCGGGCTGGAAATTTGGACTGGATTTTGGAATGGTCTCATAATTGGGAGCCGATGCCTCTGCAAAGAGGTCAGTATTGGCTCTAGAATCAACTTTTGTCTTTTGAAAAACAATTTCATTATCCCAAGAATCCTGATGACTTTCTCTAATACTGCAGGCTACTTTTTTTTTACCTTTTGTTTTGCATCTTTTATTTTGCCTCCAGCGAGGCAAAAATGACCTATCTGTTCAGGCAATTCTTTTGTTAATACGGGGCTGTCAGCTGAGTTTTCTTTGATGTCCTCTAGGAATACAGACAGCCATAATTCTCTGAGTTTTTTTTTTTTTTAATCTATTTTTTCCAATTCAGACCCTTGATCTAGCATATCCTGTAACAGACCCCATAATGAAAAGGCATCTATTGGGACCTTTTTGGGTCCATGGAGAGTATAATAGGTTGTCATTTTCTCTCCTACTCTGGCCCAAGCTTTTATATCCTGAGTACCGTCCCTTGGAAACCAAGGACAACACATTTCAATAAAATTTAGGAAGCTAACCAATTGTGCACGAGAGGTCTTAAGGCCTCTTTTAGCAAATGTATACTTAACTATATCAATAAAGAGTCCTCTTTCCCTAGACTCAGTATGGCCTACAACTTCTCAATACTAATAAGACACCCATTCGCCTTATTAGGTTCTGAATTACTGCTTTTCTTAACCCTGCTTAGTCTCTCCAGGGGGGTATGCACATTACCCACGAGCAGATCCTAGCCGTCCCGAAAAGGAAAGAAGGATTACCTTTCAAGTCCCTGTTCGGGCGCCACTTTGCCGGGGACCAGCCTCCGGCAAAATGTCATGTCAGGGGTTCCTGAAAGGATGAGACGGCGTCGGCGATAACAAAAGGGCTGAGGGGAAGGGGATGAGGTAGAATGAGGAGACACTGACACTTGGTGAGGTGCAAGTATCTTCTGCCGAGAGACTCAGCAGGTCTTTATTTATTTATTTTTAGTAAGCAGAGACAAAAAATACATTATCATGTGTAAAGCAGAAACAATTAGTGTATTTTATTCCCATGGACTACTGGCTCCTACGGGTCCCAGCTAGATGGTAGCCTTCAAGGTTAATAGATAAAAAAACAGACCTAACGCTAAAACTTATTATTTTATTTCAGCTAGACAATTACCTAAGACAGTGGATAGCCGCCAGTGCATCCCTATCAGCTAAAGTCTCAGCATCAAAAGACTATTTTATTCACATGGCCTTCAGCTGGAGACCAGCTGCTGCTCAGCTATCAGAACTTTTTCTACCTACAAACTTCTTAACACAGTTAACTTTATTTAAAAACTTTCCTAAGAAACTTCTAAATAAAAAGGAAAACTTGTAAAAAACAAAACAAGGATACACTATAATTGTTATGCTGGATTGCTTGTCAGATATATGCAATAAATTGTCTCCCATTGTTAATTGGGCCGAATTGTGTAGTAACTAATTTCTAAACAGGTAATTTTCCGTGTCAATTGCTTGCAGTCTGCTGATACATATAATTTATAGCCTAATGTACTTTTTGGGAATTTTTTTTCCTTTTATGGCCAAGAACAAAAAGTGAAGGAATGTTAAATATTTAGCCCCATGGTGTGAGGCACAAGGAATCTTCAGCCCCACGGTGTGAGGCCCTTCACCTTTGCTGCTTGCCAGTGTCTTATCTGGCTGGGGCACCAAGGCCTCCTGCAGCACACCCCCCCCAACATCCCAGTCAGCCAGGACATATGCTCAAAGCCAGTTAGCAATTTATCATTTCCTAGAATTTACAAAATAACACTGAACACAATGATCAGAAAGAAATAACCCAATTTTAAAAGGGACAACAACAGTGTTGTAAATGAGTGGTGACTCATTTGAAAAATGGACAAAAGACTTTAACAGCCACGTCACCAAGAAGAGATACAGATAACAAGAAAGAACATGAACAGATGCTCAGCATCACAGGTCAGCAGGGAAAGACAAAAAGAACAACAGTGACGCCATCACACCTGGTAGGGGCTGAAAAATGCCAACCCTGCACAGGTGCTGCCCAGGATGTGGACAACAGGTGCCTCCTCACTGCCGGCCGGAATGCAAAATGGCGCGGTCACTGTGGAAGATCTTCGACAGTTTCTTTGAAAACCCAAAAACTTGACATACAGCCCAGTGGTCACTACCCCAGCTAGTTACACAACCACTTAGAAACTTAAATTTGCATAAAACCCTGCATGCATGTAAATGCTTATAGCAGAACACCTGTAAGTGTGAGCTGTCCATAATGACTTTCTTCCAAAGACAACAGTATCTAAAGAAATGGAAAAGATGGCTGACACCTGGAGTGGAGAGTGGGCATGCATAGATGGGTACACCTGGGCTGAGAGACTGGGCTTATAAGGGCGGTGTCACGGAATGCCAGCAGAGCAAAAGAGAGACCAGAGGAGAACCAGCGGAGGCCACGAGAGAATGCCCAGAAAGAGTGAAGATTCACCAGGGGTTAGGAGTCCTGGCAGCCTCCTGGCGCCCCAGCACTCCACCTGCCGTGTACCTGGTAAACTCACTAAAAGCCTGAAAAAGCCACTGAGGGTTCCAGGACTGCTCCTTCACCCATCTGCTCAGATGGTAGAGATCCTGCTTTGTGCCCTTCCTGCCACTACAGGATGCTATAGGAAAATGCTACACAAGGAGGTGCAGACCAGAGGTGGGATGTGGGGATGAGCCATCGCAGAGAATCGCTGCTCCTGACAAATCAGCCTAGTCACACCATAGAAGTAATTAATTTAAAGACATGACAATTGCACAAAAGAATGAGCCCCTCCCAACCAGAACACTACCTCAGTGCCCTTTTTGCCTCAGAAGATGCAACTCTGCTCCCCAGGCTGCCTCCTGGGATCTGACCTAACACACCTGCCCTCTTCAGGTGCAACAATTTCTGCCAAGTGTGTCTGCACAAGCATGTTATTCTTTCCGTGTGTGTGTGTGTGTGTGTGTGTGTGTGTCTGTGTGCGCGTGCACCACTGAAAGGAGGACTCTCATGAAGCTTTTCTTAGAGGTGACCCAAGAATCCCCATCTGTGACCCCAACACTTCTCCCAAACATCACTCCTCACCAGTGTCAATGTTATAAAAACAAGGAAAGTCTGAGAAACTGTCATCCAGGCAAACTGGATGGGATTATGCAGCATAAAATGGATATTAGCAAAAACTAATGAAAGTATGGCATTTAGTAATTATGTCAACATTGCTGCATTAGTTGTAAAAAAAAAAAAAAAAAAACAACTGGGGCCTCCCCTGGTGGCACAGGCAGTTGAGCGCTGCCCTGTGAAGCTGTCCGCAGCCTCTGCAGTGCAGGTTCAATCCTGGCAAGCGGCGAGGGTCCCACATGGCGAAGCAGACCTCTCCTGTCTCGCCCACTGCCCCACTCAGCAGTGTATTTCGTCAGTCTGCCTGTTCTGTTCCCCACTCTGTCTCCCGTGAATCCGCTCACCCTTCTGCACATTTGGCCTGTACCCAGTTCTTGGGGTGGAGCCCAAGCCACATATAGAGTTTGGATCCCCGACCCATGTGCTTGTGCAGTGGGTTGGCCTGTATGCAGGGGTCAGTGAGTCGCATTGGTGGCTATGAAAGCCGAGTGTTGGAGTGACTGCAGACAGAAACCCTGAGGGTTGGCGATTACCCCCAACAGAATAAAATTGCCAATCCCAGAGCTAGTGCATCCTGGGGGTGGATGCTGTGTGTGGCTTGTAGCCGAGACTACAGCCAGAGAAGGCCAGGAAGCCTGACGGCTCCTGGTGTGTTATAGTAGATGCCGTGAATGGTTCCCCTCCCTCATATGAGCAGTGCCTTCGGCAGCAGTTTTGGTGGCTCATCTGCTGGTACCAATAATTGTCTTTTGCACTAGGTTGGTGCCCTGCCTGGACTTATTTGTGTTCTGTTGTATTTTGTTATATATTTTGTTATATTTGATGTATTTGCTTTTGTGGGCCATGGCTGCATTGTTTGTTTCCTAAATTGTATATATGTAGATTATATGGCAGAAAACCCTGAGAGGGTGGACTGTAGGGCAAGGAAAAATGTCAGGCCTTTTTGCCCTCCCGCCATCAGGCTAGATGATGGATCCTTGTCCTAAATGCATGCCTAATAGCGGGCACCTGGAGTAGGGTGTGGGCATAGGTAGATGGGATTCACCTGGGCTAAGACTGTGCTTTTAAGGGCGGCATCACGGGGACGCCAGCAGCAGCAGAAGTCGAAGGAGAAGCAGCAGCAATAGAAGCCGAAGCAGAAGCCGAAAGAGAAGCCGAGAAGCAGCAGAACGAATGCCAGAGAGCCCAGATAGAGTGAAGACTTGCTGGGGCTGGGAGGCTGGCAGGCCTCTGCCTGCCATATGCCTGGTGAACCCCAATAAAAGACCTGCAAAAAACCACTGAGGACTCTGACTCCTACTTTACCCGGTCTGCATGGGATCAGAGAACCTGCACTGTGTTCTTCCTGCCTTTACACTGTGACCTCAAAGCCCCCAGTGGACATGATCCCCCCCACTTCCTTCCCTATCTGAGCGCTTCTTCCTCCACATCACAGCTGCACCAGTGCAACTCCAGTGAGCGCAGCTCCAAGGAGAACCAGGGCAGCAACGATGTCCACAGCGGAGTCGAGGGGCTGAAGAGAGGGATCTGGAAGGGAAGGGGAGACCCTGAGCCCCAGGCCTCATCCTGACCCTCTGAAGGTCTCCAGAAGGATTCTTGATGCCCTTGATAAGCTCTGTGCCCACATCCCCCTCCTTACCCCAAGTCAGGAATTGGGGCTCCAGCAGCCCCTCATGCTGCACATGGCACGTGTATCTCTGCTCCTCTCCAGAAGGCACCACCACAGCTGCCCACTTCTGGAAGTTTTCATCCCCCCCAGGCCTGGTCTCCACCAGCTCCATCTCCTGGGTCAGGTCTTTCCCATCTCGCTGCCAGGTCAGGGTGATGTCCGCAGGGTAGAAGCCAAGGGCCCAGCACCTCAGGGTGACCTTCTGGTCAGAGGTGGGGAGGCGGGTCACCTGTGTCTTTGGGGCCTCTGAGGAGAAGGGTGAGAACTTACACACTCTGGGTTTTTCTTTCATGGACCCTGAAAATCCCTCCTGTGACTATCCTCAGAATGGACAGGACGGTGGGTTTGGAAAGAGGAAGCACAAAATCTAGAAACCAGCCTGGTCTGGGGAGTCTGGGATAATCTCTTGTTCCTTAGAAAGTTCTAGAATTAGGTGACAACTCTGGATAGGAGGACCCAGTTCTCTAAGGAGGAGAGCACAGACTTTTGCTCCTGACCTGGGGACTCACAAAAGCAGAGTCAGATCAGAAAAATGTCCTCAGACCAATAACAAGACCCTGAGAGAGTCAGGAAACCCGGGGGGCTCCTCCTCCCCTGACCAGAGAGGGGGCGCTGCTGTGACCCTGACTTCCACCCTCCCCTTGGGTGCCACCTGAGGGGGGTTTGGAGACCTCGCGGCCCCTCTTACCTACGCGCTGCAGCGTGTCCTTCCCGTGCTCCAGGTATCTGCGCAGCCACTCCACGCATGTGTCCTCCAGGTAGTTCCTGAATCGCTCCGCCACTCCCTCAGCCTCCCACTTGCGCCGGGAGATCTGCGCGGCCATGTCCGCCGCGGTCCAGGAGCGCAGGTCCCCGTTCAGGGCCAGGTAATCGGCGCCGTCGTAGGCGAACTGACTGTACCCGCGGAGGAGGCGCCCGTCGGGCCCCACGTCGCAGCCGTGCATCCCCTGGAGGGTGTGAGAGCCTGTCCCCGCCCCGTCACCCCGCGGTCACCCCGCCCGCCCCCGCCGGGAATAAACCGAAACTGACGCGGGAACCTCGCGGGGAACGTCCCGGGGCTCGTCCCGGGTCGAGGGTCTGGCGGGTCCCCCTGCCTCGGGGGACGCTCAGGCCGGGGTCTGGGGTCCCCGCCCGCCCGCGGGGGTGGGGTCGTGAGCGCCCCGGGCCCGCCCCGCTCACCGGCCGCGCTCTGGTTGTAGTAGCCGCGCAGGTTGTTCAGGCTGACTCGGAACATCTGCGCGTTGGCCTTCGATCTCCGCGTCTCCTCCTCCCAGTACCCCGGGCCCTCCTGCGCCATCCAGGGCGCCCGCGGCTGCATCCTCGGCCCCGCCGCGGCGCTGTCGAACCGCGCGAACTGCGTGTCGTCCACGGAGCCCACGGCGATGAAGCGGGGCTCCCCGAGGCCGGGCCGGGACATCGCGGTGGAGAAATACCTCAGGGAGTGGGAGCCTGGGGGCGGGAGGGAGACCGGGCTGAGCCTCCTCCCCGCGGGTCCCGGGGAGACGGGGCAGGAAGGGAGGGGGCGAGGGGGCTCCTGGGATTGAAATGGGGCAGCGGAGAAGGCTGGAGACTCAGAGGGGCGGCAGGAGGCTGAGAGGGACAGAAAGGGGTCAGGGCAGGTTGGGGTCAAGGGGAACAGGGTCCCAGGCGGGGGAGACTTGCTTTTTCTGGGACCTAAGCCCCCCGCCGTGGTTCCTCTCTCCTATGAGACCTTTTCGCTCCTGAGCCCTCACTCACCTGCCAGGGTCTCTGTCAGGGCCAGGGCTCCTGAGAGCAGCAGCAGGAGGGTTGGGGGCCTCATGACGGGTGCTCTTGGGTCTGGGGAGACTGAGTCCACACTGGTTGCAGCTGTGATGCTGGCTGGAGTCTTTGGAGACCTCCAGGCAATGGGGAGTGAGAACTGGGGGTGAGTCACCAGTATTCAAAGGAGATCTTGACACCTGTTGTGGGAGATGTGAAACTGTGGGGAGGTGAAGAATCCCCAACAGTAACCTTCCCTGCCCCCTGCACAGCCCACAGGGCTGAGACCCTGAGAACCAAACCAGATACCTGGGACTTTGCCGCCCCCTCCTCTCCTGCTCCAAGGCCTTTGTCACACTGTTGCTTCCCTGAATCCAGGCCAGGCACTGGGTGAGCGATTTTTCAAGCTTTTTTGTTTCAAGATCTCTGCAGTTTTAAAATTAGCCAGCACCCCGGTATAAGTTTAGGAGGTTATAGCTCTCAGTTTGTACTACATGAGGAATAAAAACAATTTAAAGATATTTTCATTTAATTTAAAATAATATTAATAACCCATTGTGTGTTCAAAGTGTCTTAAAGAAATGTAGATATTTAATGAAAATAATCAGGGTCATGAGTGGATCTTCTACAGCTTATATTTTTTGCAATTTTTCTTCTGTGTCTCACTAGAGGCATGTTGGATTGTCATAGTTTCTCCTGCATTTACTCTGTTTTGGTGGGTCAATGAAAAACTATACAGCCTCTCTGAAATACGTAAAAATAGCATTTTAAGTACTTTTCACATAATTGTGACTATTTAACTTTGTTCCACTTCTGCCATAAATTGAAACTATACAAGTGGTGGTTTTTCAAATGTTATTTGCAAAGTGAGTGGTAGAACAGTATCATTGAATGTTTTCTGTTATATTAATTCCATAGGCCTCTATTGATTATTAATCTTGTACTAATACATGACTTTAAAAAGTGATACATTGTCTTACCAGGTTATATGATCTTTATGTTAATTATTCGAGAATCAAATTTTGAAAATCATACATGTTTCATGTTCCAAAAATCCCCAAAGAAAAGTAAGTGGCTACTAGAAGTTGTTGTTTATAATGATGGGACACAATTTTCCACTATCTGGTTATCACGTGGCGCTTGCACTTTATCAAGGCAGTTAATTACTATCAGTTGTCAACTGTCAGTTGATTTTCTTAAAGGGACAGCTCACATTCACTTTCTAGAAAGTGTGTACAGATTAACAAAATCTAAATAATGATAGTGTTTTGTCATTCATCCCTTCAAGTAAAGATGGTAGTACCCCCCACCAAAAGGTCTAACTCTCCTTATACAAATTAGTTTCCTTGGCACATAGTACTTTGGATTGTGGCAGAAGTGACTGATATGTGCTCTGTCATCAGAAACTGGGTTTACTTTGTGTCCAGATTCTTTCTCTCAGGCTTGAGGACATGCTCCCTGCTTTCCTGAGCCTCCCTGGCTAGGACCCCACAGCCCTTCATATTGGACAGGGTGGTTTCTGTCCACGTCCTGCTGCCTCCCTCCTGATCCCTCCTGGGCAGACCTTCTCCACTGGGCTCAGGTGCTGGACCTGCCTGGGGAAGGTTGACAATGAGAGGTCATCACCAAATTTGAGGCCTCATTTCAATGCTTTTCTGTTTCTCATTGTTAACAACAGCTGACAGTGTTTTTTACTCCCTCCTGGCCTGAAAATGCTTTGTTTGTAACATTTTTATTTTATTTTTATTTAAAGATTTATTTGTGCATACAAGAACTGGGGTGTGTGACCAAAGCAGTGATAGTGAAGGCAAAGATAAACAGCTGGGACTACATCAAATTAAAGAGCTTCTGCACAGCAAAAGAGACAATAACAAAAACAAAGAGAACCCCACCACAAGGGGAGAACATTTTTGCACCCAACACTAATGATAAAGGACTGATCACAAAAATCTGCAAAGAGCTGATGAGACTCAACAACAACAAAGAAAATAATCCAGTCAAAAAATGGGCAGAAGAGCTAAAAAGAAACTTCTCTGAAGAGGAAATGCAAATGGCCAACAGGCATATGAAAAAATGTTCAACATCACTTGCCATCAGGGAAATGCAAATCAAAACTACCATGAGATACCATCTTACACCAGTGAGAATGGCACATATTAAAAAAACTAGCAACAACAAATGCTGGCGAGGGTGTGGAGAAAAAGGAACTCTTCTGCACTGTTGGTGGGAGTGCAAACTGGTCCAACCACTGTGGAGAGCTGTGTGGAGATTTCTGGACCTACTAAACATAGAGCTTCCATATGATCCAGCAATTCCACTCCTAGGTATTTACCCAAAGGACACAGAAACATCAATTCCAAAGAACACCTGCACCCCTATGTTTATAGCAGCACTGTTTACAATAGCTAAGCTTTGGAAACAGCCCAAATGCCCAAAAATAGATGACTGGATCAAGAAGATGTGGTACATATATACCATGGAATATTACTCAGCATTCAAAAAAGATAAACACATGCAATTTGCAGCAACATGGATGGCACTGGAAGGGATCATGCTCAGCGAAATAAGCCAAAAAGAAAAAGAAAAATACTGGATGGTCTCACTCATAGCAGGAATCTAGAAAACTTAAATAAGGGACCAGGAAAATGAATAACTATAAGAAAGTGAAAATCAAAATCAACAAAAAACTATGAACCAGAGACACTTTTAGGGGGACGGGGGTGGGAGGGGAGGGATTGGGGTCAGAATGGGGGGGCTGCAATTGTATGGGGAATATAACAATAAAATTTATTAAAAAAAAAAAAAAAAAAAAAGAACTGGGGTGTGTGAGAGGGTGAGAGGATTCACCAGAGACAGAGCGGAGAACAGAACAGGCAGACTGACTGAAATACACTGCTGAGGGGAGCAGCAGGCAAGCCAGGAGAGGTATGCTGCACCATGTGGGTGTCTCCCTGGCCAACTGGAAATCAATCCTGTGCTGCAGAGGCTCAGAACAGCTTCACAGCACTGTCTTCAACAGGCCGTGCCACCGGGGAGGCCCAACATTTTGATTTTTATAGGGAATACAGTTTATATCCTAAGAAGTATACCATATATGTGTGTTTACACACACACACACACACACACACACATCATAAGCAAAATAAAGCAGGTCTTTCTAAATTTTGAAAGGGACGTCGGGCGGTGGTCGTCAGGCTCAGCACAGAGCTGAAGGGCTGGGCTACGTGTCTGCTCTGGACAGGGCCCTCACAGCCCTTCCTCCCCTCCTCAAGATGCTGTTCTCTGTGGGACCCATGTAGGGTATCCCCCTTCTTTACTGGGTGTGGGTATTCATTACTATATTGTCAGTTCTAATGCTTTTTTTAAAAAAGATTTATTGATTGATTTATACAAGAACTGGGGTACAGGCCAGATGTGCAGGAGGGTAAGAGGATTCACCAGAGACAGAGCGGGGAACAGAACAGGTAGACTGACAAAATACACTGCTGAGGGGAACAGCGGGTGAGACAGGAGAGGTCTGCAGTCCATGTGGGACCCTTGCCAGCTGGCTGGGATCAAACCGGTGCTGCAGAGGCTGCAGACAGCTTCACAGCACGGCACTCAACTGCCTGGGCCACCAGGGGAGGCCCAGTTCTAATGCTTTTAAGAAGGTGGATTTGTATCTCATACGTATCTCACATTTTTGGCTTTTTTCAGTGGGAAGGTGTCCCTCCATCCAGCCCACCTTGGTCAGGTGGAAATTCTAAGGCAAAATCATTCAGTGACAAGATGATGAGTCCTAGAGTAGAAGGTCAGAGCCTGAGAACATGTGACTGAGGGGGAAGTGCCAAGTGTTTGGTAAGTGTCAGGTATTGTGTAATTTATTTTTGATAATAAATGATTTTGATAATAACTAATATTTGCCATTCACGCTCACACAGAGGATTCATAAATACTCCAGAACATACACAAATAAATAAGTCACCTCATCCTCAGTCTACCAAGTCGCCTCTACTCTGAACCCACTGTAGTCAGCAACTTCTCATTTTCTCCCCAGAAAAGTCTATGTATGCATTGATGTGTTAGGTCTGTAAAAGAGCTTGGACCACAGATGAGGAGAAAATATTTGCAAAATATGACTAATATACTACATGTTTTGGAATATGCATGGAACCCTTAAAATTCAACAAGGAACAAATAACTTTCTAAAACTGAGCAAAACTCTGAACAGTTTCCAAGGACAACATTGATGGCAACTAGGCATATGAACAGAAACTCAATATCATATGCTGACATATGTAAATGCAAGTGCAAATTAAAGCAACATGGACATGCTATGCACACCTATTATACGGCCTAAATCCAAATCCTAGTACAGCAGCCCCCCTTTATCCACATGGGATGTATTCCAAGACCCCCAGTGGATATCAGAACCACCAATAGTATGGAGCCCTCTAGATACTAAGATTTCCCTGCACATACATACTTATGATACATTTACTTTATAAATTAGGCACCATGTGATTAATAACTTTAAAACAGGACAATCAATCACAACAATGTACTGTAATAAAAGTTGTGTAACTGTGATCTCTCTCTAAATATCTTATGAAAAAATTTTAACCTAGTTAAATTTCGGGAAACTGAAGCCTTGGAAAGTGAAACCTCAGAAAAGGGGGGACACTGCACCAGGTGCTGACCAGGATGGGGAGCAACAGGGCCCCCCATTCACTGCTGGAGGAAATGCAAAATCACACAGTCACTATGGAAGAGATAGTAACTCATTCTTATTAAGTGAAACACAGAGTTACCCTAAAACCTGCTATTCACTCTCCTGGGTATTTACCCGACTCACTTGAAAATTTTTGTTCACACAAAACCTGCACAGAAATGTTTATAGCAGAACACCCCTTAAGTGTGGGCTCCACATGGTGATGCCTTCCAGTGACTGCTGTGTGGAAAGGGACACAGGAAAGAAAGAACTTCCCAGGGAGGACTTGGAGACCCGACCTCAGCCAGGTGGGTGTAGGAGCAAGATGGGCACCGAACAGGTTTTCTGATCCAGCAGATGGGTGAAGGAGAGTCTTGGAGCCCTCAGTGGGTTTCTCAGGCTTTACTGAGCTGTTACATATACAGCAGCAACCAGGTACACGGCATGCAGGGGTGCCCGGGGCCCAGGAGGCCAGCAGGCCCCCAGGTCCCAGGCAAGCCTTCACTCTGGGCTTCTCTGGCCTCTTTCTCTCCTTCTCTCTCCTGCTGCTTCTCTTGATTCTGCTTCTCTGGTGACTATCTCAATACCCTCCCATGGCCCACAGAAGTAAACAAGATAGTTTGCAACAATGTAACAACTGCAGGTGCCCCATCAGGCAAGGCAATCCTAATGGCAGAAGGGCAGAAAAGCCTGAAAACCATTTGCCCTACAGTGAGGATCAGGTGCAGGTGACTCTCCAGGGTGCTGTGCTGAGAGGGGCCTTTCATGTTTCTGTTTTTCCCCCAACCCCATCACCTCAGTTAACCAAACTCAAATGTTTTCTTTGATTTCCTCATTAACCCAATGATTTTTCAGTAGCATGTTGTGTTCAGTCTCCATGTAGTGGGCAATCTCCTTGCTTTCTTTTCATGCTTTATTTCTAGTTTGATATCTTTATCATTTTAGGAGAGACTTGGTATGAATGCAGTCTTCATGTATTTTTTAAAATTTTGTTTATTTCTACAAGAACTGGGGTACAGGCCAGAAGCATGGGAAGGAGAGAGGAGAAGAACAGGCAGATGGACCGAAAACACTGCTGAGGGGAGCAGCGGGTGAGACAGGAGAGGTCTGTCGCACCATGTGGGTAAATCCCTGGCTGGCTGGGGATCAAACTGGTGCTGCAGAGGACGTGGACAGCTTCACAGCACTGCCCTCAACCCACTGCACACCTGGGGAAGCCCAATCATGTATTTTTTGATGTTTGTGTTGTGACCCCTTGTGTGGTTCATCCTGGAGAATGATGCACTTGTATTTGAGAAAGATGTGTATTCAGGTTTTTGTTTTTTTTTTTTTTTTTTTTGAGGGGGTAGCAGTGTCCTATAGGCGTTTATTAGTTCCATGTGATCTAGATTTTCTTTTAGAGCTATTGCATCCTTGCTTATTTTCTGTCTTGTTGCTCTGTACCTTGGTGAGAGTGCAGTATTGAAGTCTCCTACCACCTATGTTTTCAGAGCTGATAGTAATTATCTAATGTATTTTGGTGCTCCCTTTTTTGGTGAGTATATACTGATGAGTGTTATGACTTTCTGGTGTATAGTCCCCTTGATCATTATATAGTGTCCTTTGGTGTCTCTTGCCACCTTTGTTAGTTGGAAGTCTATTTTATCTGGTATGAGTATGGCTACCCCTGTTTTGGGGCTGCTTGTTTGTTTGTATAATTGTTTTCCAAACCTTTTCTTTCAAGCTATGCTGATCTTTAGCACTTAAATGTGTTTCCTGGAAGCAGCAGGAGTTTGGGTTCTGTTTTGAATCCAGCATGCTACTGGTGAATTTAGTCCATTAACACTTAGATACATGGAGGTCTCTTGCTGCTATTTGGTGATAGGGTTGTGATTTTCTTCACTACCTTGTTTAGTCTTGTTCATTACTCTGTTGGTTTAGATTTCAAGGCTTCTTGTAATATTTCTTGGAGAAGGGGTTTAATCATAATGAATTTCTAAGATTGTGTTTTTATAAGAAGGTCCTTAACTTTCCCTCATAAAGGAAGGTAAGCTTTGCAGGGTGAAGTATACTTGGTTCTTTTCTACCATGTTGCTGACATCATTCTCTCAAACCTAATAAATTTAAAAGGACATAAATAATATAACATATGTTCACATACAGGGCATGGAATTCAATAACTA